ATGCCTTCAGAGTTGTTACTGGTCTGTATTAGTAGATGCTACTCAATAGTCATATCTAGACAGCAGGTCTCAAAGTTAAACATAAGGTAACTTTTTCATGAGTTCTTAGAGGTTTGATCACAAACTGCCTTTAGCAGTTAGAAAGCCACTGGAAAACCAAGGAGTACTAGTAGACAGCTATTTCGTTACAGTTTGGAAGTCTTTACCAGTACTCACTAGCCGGGGTTCGAACGCATGATCTCCTGGTTAAAAAGAGAGCTCGTAGACGGTCTAACCCCTGGGGTCCGATCCGGTGGCCCATGATTTTTTACTTCCATAAAGTATAAGGCGCAACCGCCAGTCAGTGTCATAGGCGAGTAACTGTTTTCTTGCCTGACTTGGTAAACCCTGCTGGTGACGGCTTCTCACTAGAAATCCAGGTAACTCCATGTATACTGCTAGTCGCTAGTGAGCATCAGACTAACTTTCAGGTGTTGGTTTCGCAGGGATTTGCTTGGTTACAGGTTTGACCACAATCTGACATCAATTATAGAACCATTCGAAAACCAAAGAGTACTGGAAATTACATTATATGAGGTAAGTGAAGGCTGACAACTGATTTGACAAACTCATGATTTTTTGCCAGTGTACATAACCTATTGCATCAGATATGCTTTGTTTGTACCCCTATTCTAGTAGCGCTTGTTCAGAAGTGGTATTCATGGGTATGGAATATTATCACTCGTCTTATTTTGACTTATATGTCTTTGCTTTGAGTAGATTACCACCTTTAATATTTCGTTTTACTATTGTGTGATGCCAGAGTGTTGACAGTAATACGTTATTTGTTTGAGTGACCCCTTACTCCTAGATTGTCTGTGGGAAATGTATTTTGTTCTAATGGAGATGGAATTCCAACTCCACCTTTCTGGAAATATTCTATTTGTTTCACATTAGACAATGGATTGATGTCAGTTAAAGAACCATTTAAAACCAGTCACAGGGAGCACTGAACAGCTGTTTCGTACGCACCCACCGCCATGGCTCGAACTCAGGACCTTCCTGTTAGAAGGCAAACTCGCAGACCATTTGGTTAACGAGTTTTCCTTTAGAGTATGTGTTTTGTACCTGAGAAAACTTAGGACTGTACAGTTTTACATGATAACACCTTTGAGGTGCTTTGTATTTTTCAATGTTTAACAGTTCAGTTATTGTTGAAATATAATTTTTGAAAATATGTGACTCATAAAAGTTTAATAAGCGATACAAAAGAACGCAGCGAATAGTGTGTACCATTTGGACTTAGTCATTCCACACGGTTTCCTGCTTTCTGACTAAAACACTTAAGGTTCGGTCGTTACTGTATATATATATATATATATTCTGTATGTATGTATATTCGGAGTAAACAGTTTTCAAAAAATGTTTTGTATTCAATACGAGATAACGAAAAATAAATAAATAAATATTCAAGTTTTCTACTCCTTAATGATGAATAGTGTTGAAATGTTTTTTTTTCACAAATCGACAACAACATTGAGTTTAAATGTTGTTGAGCTCGTCTCACATAAACAAGTGAATAATGATAGTAATAATAATAAACTGGTTTCATTTGTAACCATTTCTGTTACAAATATGTGAATATGAGGTCAACAGAATAGAATGCTCTCACAAGTAGTTAATTAAGGTGGGGACAACTGTATACTTACTCGATTGCATCGATTTACTATATGTACATATTCTATTTAAAGGTATATTTCGTAGTATATTGAAATGAGCTGAAAAATTGTAGAAAGCATTGAATAGTTGTTTCATCCTAATGCAGGAGTACTCTTCATGAGGACACTAGGAGTGAAACACTAGACCACTGGATTTTACAAAATATTGACTAAATAGTGACCGAGATGTTGAGTAACATAAGAAGTTGATCTCCCTGTGTTCGTGTGTGTGTGTGGGGGGGTTGCGACCGATAAGATTTACAAGTGATATGTAGGTGCAGGCGGTAGAATCAGAGGGAATTTCCCTCGAAGCATTGAAAACGGACCCAGAGACTGCAGCAGATGTACTGATGCTATTATTGCAAAAGGCTTGGAAGCAAGGAAAGGTACCTACTGATTGGAAGAGAGGCCACCTCGTTAAGCTGCCAAAGAAGTGTGATTTGAGTCTGTGCGAGACCTAGCGTGGAACAATGCTCTTGTCCACGCCAAGTAAAATATTAAGGCGCATCATCCTGGGAAGAATAAAGGATGCACTGGATACAGAACTCCGCCCCCATCCCAGAACAAGCTGGATTCAGGAAAGGCAAGTCATGTACTGATCAAATTCCAACTCTACGCATCATCATCACAGAACAAAGCAAAGAATGACAGTTTAACCTCTACCTCAAATTCCTTCATCGACTTCGAAAAGGCCTTCGACAGGCAGCATTGACCGAGAAGTAATTTGGAAACTACTTCAACACTACGGCGTGCAGTGCCTAAGTCTTTGTCAATCTCATTCAACAGCTCTATAACAGCCGCACGTGTCAGGTGATCCACAACGGAAAACTCAGTGAGGCGTTCGAAGTGCATACAGGAGTAAGACAAGGCTGCCGATTATCACCGATGATATGCTTAATTGTGGTGGACTGGATTATGCGTCAGACTATGGGGAGTGAGAAGACAGGAATAGGGAGATTTCAGAAGATCTGGATTTCCTAGATCATACAAACTCGAAGACTTGCAAGCAAAAACCAACAAACTGGCTGAAAAGGCAGCGAAAACAGGACTGCAGGTGAACATAGAGAAGACAGAGGTGATCATGTAAAACTTGCGAGTATGCTAAAATTGTTCTGTACGTAAACCACTTAATAATTTCTTCAGGTTGTAAGCAGCTGATGAGAAGCAAACGAAAAAATGATTACTCCCGAGAAATCAATCAGTCAGTATATGGTTTTAATATATTTGTATGTCTCTGAGATAGATATGGTTTAATATTCTTTGACCTGCTGTGCAATCTGATCTCACCAACTTGTGTCCGCGAATATGTGTGTATGTGTGCTTTGATTTCTTTTCCTTGTGACTTCTAGTTTTTGTATACGACCAATTATATTCCATTTGTAATATATTTCATCAGTTCCTAAAAATAATTTTGTCATAAACCATGGAGCTTCCTGGAGTTCTAGTGAGAGGTCGTGACCAGTGAGGTCCAATTAGATGTCACGTGTGTGAATGGATGTCCCACCAACACCAATGGTTTGGGTCGCGCTAAATCACGAATTGGTAGAAGTTAGAATTCATGAGCCATTGAATCGGGTCCCAGTGGCTGAATGGCATACGAGCTTGCCTTGTAACCGGAAGGTCCTGGGTTCGAATCCCAGTGGGTGCGTACTACCGATGATTGCCAAAACTAGGATGAAACAGCAGCTGTCCAGCACTCCCTGGATTTCAATGGTTCTCTAACTGATATCAGTCCGTGATCAACTCGTAAAACATAACTAACCCTTACAAACCAAACCTCCACCTTTGTCTGGGCGGCATATGATGATATCATCATCCTTCTCTAATCCTTTAAGTTAGTCTATATGCTCTGTCGTCAGAAGAGTATTCGAGCCAGGTTTTGAACTAGTAGAGTGATGACAACAATCGAGAACTGTGGATTTGAATTGTTGGAATTCCTGAGGTGATACATGTATGAAATCGCTGATCCGGCTGATTAGATTTCCGAATTGCACTTAAGTGTGCAATTTGTTGACTTTGGACCCTTACAAACCAAACTATAGAAAAATAAACCATAATGTATGATTTTGGCTAGATGGTTTTCTCGAGTTTGACCATGGATTAATATCAGTTAGAGATCCCTAGTTCGGGACTCTCCAGCAGTACGCACTCAACGCCACTGTTCGAACCCACGGCCTTCTAGTGAAGAGGAGAGCTCTTATATCATTAAGCCATTGCGACCCAACTCGATGATCAGCTCATGAATTCCAACTTCTACCGATTCCTGATACATATTTAGCGTAACCAACAGACAATGTCACTGGCGAGTAAATTTCCTCTTGCCTGACTTCGTGGACCCCTCCACCCTCTGGTTACGACTTCTGACTAGAACCCCAGATACTTCCTGTATAGGGCCAGTCACTAGTGAGAGTACTGATGAAGAGTGCCAAACTAGGCTGACGAAACAGTTGCCCAATACTCCCAGGGTTTTCAAATGGTTCTTTAACTGATCTCAGCTCGTGATCAATCCAGTGACCAATCAAATCTCTGCAAACCAACACATGATAAAAGGATTATCCTTTTTTTCCCATTCTGTGTCAAGTGTTGAATATATCAGTCTACCATACTATCACCACAGTTGGTTGAACAATAAAAAAAGGAACAATTCATAGGGAAGAAAATTTCTTTTATGTTTATTTATAATTATTGAAAAAAAAACAATCTGAAGGAAAAAGTTTCACATCTACAGATTACAATCATTTTTAACCTGTAAATATATCATGACCATACTATATATAAAAATGAAGAATAAATGTATGTATATTTTTATTTGTACTTGTATATACGCTTAAATATTATTTGTGTCTCTGAAAGATCCTTCTACTGTCTGTCTTCCTCTTTCTTCTTTTATTTGTAATGGGAATATATATATATGTGTATCCTTGATAATTGAACATTGTACAAGTGAACATTGAACAGTTGAATATTGAACAATTGGACATTGATTAAATAAAAACGTAAACAACAAAGAAAAATTAATTGTGAACAATGAAAAAAAATAAAACAATTTTATTACCGGGACTAGAAGTCAGTCTGTATAAGTAAGATACATCAAATATTTCACGAATGACAATTAGATGAGAGCGAAAAAAAAAAACAGGGGAGAGGTGGGGAGGGAAACAGCTTTTTGGAGAGAAGAGAATGAAATTCCCCTAGAAATAAGTAGACATTTTTGAAGTACTTGAAGATGAGATGAAATAATGATGACAGGGAAAGAGAGAGAAAAGAATCAACTCGCCATTTATGAGGAAGGATGGGCATAATGTCGCCATGGATAGATAACTTCACTTTAGATTAATTTACATAATATAGATTATAATAAACAGAGTATAATTGGAATGTATCAGATAAGGATAGATTGACTTTATTTATTTATTCTATGAAACAGGGAATGTGATTTTTCAATCGCAGTCTTCCTCTTCTTTTCTCTTTCTAGGACTGTTGGCAAGATTGGCTTGTAATTGTTGGGATGTCAATCTCCTATAGATTTGAAAAAAAGAAATCAAAATAATTAGGGAGAATGTAGATTGTTATTGTGGTAGGGATTCATCGGGATAATAATGACAATACTAGATAGTTGAAAAATAAACCATTCATCAGTCAAAGTATTCTTTATTCATTTACATTATAAGATGGCAGAATTTGAAGAACTACAGAGATCTATCCAATCAGCACTTCAGTTTAAGGATGTCATCGAAGAATTTGCTAGTATAAACTGTTATCCACTAATGATACACCATTACGAATGTGTTACACTACGGACTGTTAGAAGTGGTAAAGTGTCAGACATTAATCTGTGAATCTGTGATTAATCATAGGATTTGCACTTGAAAGCTTATTTATGTATGGAATTTCATCGTAAGTCATTGTGTTCTCGCAGTTTAATAAATCGTTATTCAACTAGATCTGAGTTATATCCCGAAGGGGATGATATTTATCCTCAGAGATTTGAATCCGAATCATCTAGTGCTGCAATTAGAGATGTTACCACTGTAACCTTCTTTTGCAGTTGTGTTGAATACATTGGTATAATCACTAATGTTGTGCTGGTGTGATACAGACAATGTCTGCCAACGGATATTATTCTCAAATATTCCCACAGTTCAACACTGCATTAGCATCAGAATACTATATGTGTTTGAACATTCTATTTCATGTGGCTTAATGTAAAACGAAATCACATGCTCAATGACTGGTTAAAGAACATGAACTGTATAGATATAAATAGGGGTTTGATCAATTGAAAATATACTCTTGCTTCCGTGTCTTGCCTTCTGCTGTTACAATGTGAGAAACCAATATCATGTGCGCAGATTTTAGCATAGGTGCTGACAATGAGCATCCTACCAGTTGCTTAAAATCACCTAAAATCTATTTATAACACACTAAGAATAGTGATCACATTGCAAAAACATGCCTGACGGAATTCACTTAGCACCAACACTAAGAATTAGACATATGAAACTGACTATACCCTAATTATCGATCAACGGATTCAGTGTATGAAGTTCTGTTCAATCGATACTAGTGTTAAACACAATTGAATTGTAAAAAATGATCTTAACTTTAAAGGAAAGAAAATTAGACGAAATAAATTTGTATTTGTATTTCATTTATATGAATGAGACAATTTGTTTGCTGTCTGTATGTTCGTGGAAAAGTTCATCAGTATAAATTCAGGCTTCATTAGAAATATACTTGACAATTAATCTGATGCTTACTAGCGACTGGCCCTATACAGGAAGTATCTGGGGTTCTAGTCAGAAGTCGTAACCAGAGGATGGGGCAAAAGGATGGTTACTCGCCCGTGACATTGGCTAGTGGTGGCGTTAAATCTATATCGGGAATCGATAGAAATTGGAATTCATGGACTCCCCATTGGATCGCATCCCAGTGGCTTACTGGTCTACGAGTCCACCTCGTAAACGGAAGGTCGTGGGTACATGCTGCTGGACAGTCCCAAACTAGGCTGACGAAACAGCTATCCAGTACTCCCAACTGGTTCCCGAATGGTTCTCTAACCGATGGCAGCTCATGATGAAATCCTGTAAAGTGTAATTGTGAATAGAAAATTAACTCAATCAGAAAGGGGTCAGCAACTGTTTTCAGAAGAGTGGGATGGTGAAAACACTACACAGTATTTCATCGATATAAATCCCTTTATTATGAATTTTAGTGTTGATAATAATGTGGGTTAGCAACACACCCATATACTTTTTTATATTTAATCCCCTTTTCCGTTTGTTGTTCAGTCTTATATTAGTAGTAGTAGCAGTATTTTATTGTTACACATTTTCGGCGTAAAAGATGGACAACCATGAAAAGTTGAGGGAGAAATAGTTGATTGGATTTAATAACACCTACAAAAAATAAAATAAGAAGAACAACAAACACCACCGATCAACTAACTAACTAACTAACGAACTGGCCCCGTTGACATTAATATCGTGTAGTAGAATGACTTCTTGAAGAAGACAAAACAAAACAATGAGATTATGTGAAGTGATGAGTGGTAGTATTTTATGCTTCATAAACCACATGAAAGATTGTCATTTGTATATGCGTGCATCTTTAACTGTCTGTGTATTTATTTGTGTTTGAATGGAGTGGAAGAATGACGTTTTATTGTGTATATGTAATCTCTATTTGGTTATACTGAAGAGGCTAGATACTAATAAATCAATAATGAGTTAAATGTAATGAACTGTATTCACTGTATTTTGAATGGTCATTCTAAATCAAGATAAATAATACCGTTTAGTTGTTAACACTCACTAAAGGAACTTAATCTATGAAGTTTATGATGAAGTCACCAAGAAAACAGACTAACTAAATAAAATATAATTGGGAAGAAATTCTACACGTAGATTTCGTTCTTTTCTGATGCTCATTCATTGGATTGATTGATCTTAAACTTCTCTAACACAGTCAAAATTGTGTGTTTGTGTGGAACTTTTGTCGCAAAACAGTATTGTTTAGAGTACTGTTCAACTCTAAGAGACATTAGTCAACTATTTCCTCCTAGTTCAGAACTATTTTTCTTCAGGAGTCTGCGTTCACTGACTTGGTAGGTGTTTTCACGCCAGTATATTACCGATAAGAAAACTCAAGAAGATCTGGATTTCGCTTGGTGGATGATTTATGTTTAATGGTACACAGACTAGAAGACTTACAGGCGAAAATTAGCAAACTGACTGAAGAGTGTGGCAGCGAAGACAGGACTCCAGGTGAACATAAAGAAGACGGAAGTGATAAAGATAACCAACCACCGCCAACACCAACATCGACCACCACCAATTACCATCAACGAGAAAGATTTGGCAGAGGTTAATTCCTTCACTTATCTAGGAAGCATCGTTTCAACCACAGGCGGGTGGGACTGATGAAGATTTGAAAGCCAATCATCCAGAATCTGAAAGTCAAGATAAGCCTTCATCAACATGAAATTATTTTGGAAATCTGCTGTCGCTCAGTCAGCATAAAGAACAAGATTCGTATTTTCAACACCAGTGTTAAGTCAACAAATTCCTCTATATGTGTCAGAAACTTGTAATGCACATCATAGCCAGGAAGAGAGAATTAGTAACAAGAAACTGTGGCTGGCAACAAACCAACCAAGAGCCGATAGCTCAATAAATATTCAGAAGAAAATGGAGATGGATTGTGCCTACATTGAGGAGGCTATCGAATGGCATCGTGCACCAGGCCATTGCTCAAGTGGAATCCCAATGGCAAGTGACAAGTGCGTCGTCAGTGTGAGGGTGACATTGAGAAGATCATTTGGTGAGGTGGAGATAAGAGATTCTGACCAAACGTGGAGCTAGCCAATTGAAGAGGACAGCAGAAAATAGAAGAAAGTGAAGATGTGTTGTTGAAGCTCTATGTTCCACTCGGAACCTAAGGGAATAATAATAATAATTTCACTATTTAGTCCATTAGTCTATAATTTTTAACTTTTGTCAAATTAGTGATACAACGCTGTCACCATTACTATAAGTTTTCAAGTGTTGCTTTACAGGGATTGGATTGATTTCAAGTTTAATCAGAAACTGACTTCAGTTAGAGGAATGCTGAAAACAAGCAGGGAGTACTGGATGGCTGTTTTCTCTTACTTTGAGGCACTTGGTAGCAGTATGTGGCCATCACCCCATCGAAGATTGAAGCCACAAAGTTTAACTAGCGAGGTCAGGCTATTGACCATTTAATCAATGAGATGGGATTCTTTGTTGGACACTAGTTAGTAACTAGTGTAATGTGTGTAGTCCTTTCTTTGGTGCAGACTGAATTCCACCAGTCAAGTTTGCAATGCGGCAACCATGCCACTAAGTGACTCGCCATCATGGTGCACTCTGAAATGTTGATATTAGATGGTCGGAAGCAATCGACAGGGAAGCCTACTTGAACCTAGGTTTCGTGCTAGTTGGCACCCACCAGTCAGTCAGCAAGGCGTATCTGCAACCTTGAAGGAACTCATTTCCCTTCTGAAGAGATTCGAACCCGCATCACCCAGTGATCGCTGCAGTCAGAGACATTACCAGCCACTGAGCTATTCGGGGTTGCGATTGACCTCCTATAGAGCTGTATTTGATATTTTTGATTGGACACTTGTTAGTAAGTAGTGTGATGTGTCTAGTTCTATCTTTAGTGCAGATGGAATTCTATGGACCATGAATTATAACTTCTGCCAACTAGGGATATATGAAATTAAGACACTGATGACTAGTGATTGACTACAGGATGAACTTGCGTGAAGTTTTAGTAGGAAGTTGTGACCACTCAGGCCCACCAAATTTGGTGTCTGAGGAAAAATACTCATCAATGACACTGATTTGAGGTTGTGTTATCCAAAAGAAATTCTTATGAGTCCTGACAAAAGTCGATTAATCCCACAAATTATCACTGCTCATTAGAATTTTAGGTAGATTATCTTGAAGTTTATGTCTAGATTAGTGATAGTAGATAAATATTCAGATTTTGGGTTTTCTTAGATTCCGTTATCTCGAAGGCTGTTTTTTTCCCCGAAATGATATCATTCAACGAATTATTGCTCAATTTTTTCATCCTAAATTAATAATTGATTTGCATAGACTCTAATGGAGTTAAACACCCTTTTAACAGAAATTCAATCATCATTTACAACTCAAGTAACAAAATTATCAAGTATTGGTTTGGTAGGGTTTTTGGTTTGATTGGTTGAAGGATTTCATCATGTCATGAATTGGCAGAAGTTAGAATTCATGGGTTGGTCATGGGGTCGGGTCTCAGTGGCTTAATCATCTACGAGCTAGCTAGCTCGCATTGTGACCAGAAGGTTGTGGGTTCGAACCCTGTCGATGGGGGTGGGTGCGCACAGCTGAAGAGGAGTCCCACACTAGGCTGGCGAAACAGCTGTCCAGTACTCCCTGAAGCTGGTTTTCCAGTGATTCTCTAAATGATGTCAGCTCATGATGAAATCCTCCAACCAATCAAGCAATAAAACTTTACATTGATAACAAACAATACCAAAAGTTTTAACTTACATAAAAATTAAATTATTTTATGTCATCCTCTCATTAATAAGCTTGAATCTCTTACTCCACTCGCCGATTCAAAATTCATACTATTCATTGTCAAAAAATTTGATTGATTAATCGGTATTATTTCGGTAGTATTACACTCGCCTTGTTGTATTGCATTTAAAGACCATATTGATCGATTTTCATCACCGTCACCATCCCCATCACCATTATCATCGTCATCCTCATCATCGTTGACAACAGTAATAACACCATTATCAGATTGAGTAGTAATTTGTTTTGAAAATTCAAATTTTGAATTTTGAATTTGATTTATTAAAAGCCTAGAGTGTATTTGTTTACTGGCATTATCACTGTCATCCCCATTATTATTATTATTATTATTATTATTATCATTATCATTATTATCCATTTGTGTAGGCATATCGGAAAGGGATTGATTCATTTTGTGAATGGATTGATTTCTCCAGACTGGATTTAAATAATCCAGACTAAATGATGCACTAATATTTGTAGGTAGGAATGCTAAAGAATTAGTTAAATTTGTTTGTATATTGTCAGGCATACAATCAGACGATGAAGATAATGAAATTGTCGTTAAATTAGAATCACGAAAATTTTCTGCAGTTAACTGAGAAAATGGCACTGATGACACTCCATTAATGGTTGATAATGAAACTGCTGGAAGTGGTCCAGTAAGACGTAAGTCATACTTTTTACTGTTATTTCCTGTATACTGTACCAATGCGGCTGGTTCTTGTTGAGATGATCTAATATTATCAGTTTCTCTGGTTGTTTTCCAATCTTTTGGAGATCTATTAAATCTTGAATAGTATTCGATTGGTTGATCACGGTAATCATCAATGTATGCCAGTGTATCTCCGCCCACCATACTTGTTTTATTCCCCAGAGGTGGACGAGTTTCATCTTGACTAGTGTGATTACTATCAAAAGGGAAATATCCTCTAACAGTTTTATTCTGTTCTAAATTAGCATAAGATCCTGGAATATCTGTTATATCATAAGATTTCTGATTTTGTTGTTGTTGTTGGTGGTGTTGAGGTGAGACTGGTTGACCAATCAAATGATGATAATGATGATAGTATCTTTTAGGATCTTCATCGCCTAGTTCATCATCATCGTCATCATCTTCATCATCATCATAATCCTCTTCCATTCCTTCGCCATCATCATCAGCATCACCAATACCACCTAGATTGTCTTCTTCATGTCTTTGTGACTGTGGTGGTGGTGGTGGTGGCGGCGGTATATCTCCTCGACAGTTTTGATTAACATGACAATGTGTATGCGCATAACAATGATGGTGATGATAATGATGATGAGAACAGTGTCTTGGTGAATTACTGATCCCTGGTGTCATGGCAACCATAGCAGCGGCCGCCGCAGCTGCAGCCGCAACAGCTGATACTCTTTCAGGACAATAAAAAGCTGTTTCACTCGACAGCTGAGAGTTAAAACATGAAGCAAATCTATTATTATTGTTATTACCATTAACAGTAGTAGTCGATGCTGTAGCCGGAATAGTATTACTTGTATTCTGATTCATCATCATCATCCCCATAGGATTGTTTCCCTGACATCGATTTGTCTTCGGTGTGTATGTTGGTAGATTTCGAAAGTCACCAATGCAACTAATGTAGTCTATATTATCATAGTAGTAATTTTTATTGTTATTACTATTACTATTATTATTATTATCAATATCATTGCAAATGAAATCAGAATTATTGTCAGTGATTAAATCATTTTTCATTATTGATTGTTGATAGTAATCGTCGACTGAGCCTAATTGCGAGACATCTGTTGTTGTTGCTGTTGCTGTCGCTGCTCTCGTTGTTGTCGCTGTTGCCGTCGTCATTATTGTAGAACCATATTCAACAGTGTTGCCATCAGTATTATTATTATTGGTTTTTTGATTCATATTCTCTAAGGTTATTCTATCCAACTGCATATAATCATCAATTAGAGGATTTTGATTTTGTAATGAATTCACTGGCAGTGTTAAATTTGATGGTAAAAAGGTAATACTGGAATTTGACAATGATTGAGTTGATGTTGCCAACAAGTTGGTTGGTTGAATCCACCAGTCAGAGGATGAAAGATGAGTCAATTCACGATATGGAGGAGGATTTGATGCTTTTAATTGATTTGCAGATTTTAAGTGTACTTTAAGATGATTGACATTAGAAGGATTAGATAAATTCGGAAGTGTATTAGAATTATTATTACTATTGGAATGAATATCTGAGCTGTTCTGAGAATGCATTGAATCGATAGAATTCGGTCGTGAATTTGTTTTCTGATTGAATTGGGAATAGGATGGATTTATCAGCACATTATTACCACTATTATTATTGTTATTATTATTATGTAAGAGTTGTGTTAAGCATGTTGACGAATTTGGTGGTCTTAGCAGGACACTTTCCTGTGTACACGGAATAAAATGTTGTTCCACCGGTTGATTTCCATTTGTATAGTTTGAAGGAATTGATTTGGGTAAATAGTCAAATCGTCGATTATTAGCCTCTGAGACAACCGAGTTCGCCTGTGTTGCCAATCTTGGTGTATATGTTGGAAAGCTGCTACGATTTTCTTTAAAAGTACCTGTAAAAGGTTTCATTTCACTATGACTTACCTAGAAATAAGAGAGAGGGGATGAGAGAAAAGATTAGTGTTATCTGAAAGGTTGAAATACATTTCCCATCCTTCTATCTTTCTTTCTTCACGGAAAGTATTCATTTTATATAATAATAAGTTCGAAAATGAGGGCAGTTTCTCATCGAAGAAGACATTGCGAAATGGTTGCGCTATGTCGTGAATTGGCAGAAGTTAGAATTCATGGGCTGGCCAATTGATCGGGTCCCAGTGAGTGGTTTAATGGTCTACGAGCTATCTAGCTTGCCTTGTAACCAGACGGTCCTGGATTCGAATTCTAGTGGTGGGTGCGTACTGCTGAGGAAGAGTCCAAAACCAGGCGGACAAAACAGCTGTCCAGTACTCCCTGTAGCTGGTTTTCCAATGATCCTCTAAATGATGTCAGCTCATAATGAAATCCTCCAACCAATCAAACGAAATCCTTACAAACCAATACTTAAAATAATAATAATAATAAATTTTAATAATACTCATGTTTAATGGCCCCAGATTTTAATTTTAACTCATACTTGATAACTCGATGGAAAAATAATGCTGAAAATTTACGAGCATGAAATTATATACGACTGATTGATTAGTATGTGTATTTGGAAGCTACTCACATAAAAATAGTAATCCTTGTTTGCAAGACAGGTCGAAGTGGTTTAAACGCCAGACAGACGCTTGGCTCATCAGTGTGTATTCGGTTTGAATCGACTCAGAAAGTTAAATCAATTCGAAAAACCCCGAATTCTCATTAAGTACTCAGGCGAATTGCTAATATATTGAATCGAAATTCGTCATTTTGCAAATTATGCAGTTTTAGGTGCGAAATCAATACAGTTGTTTTTTGGGAAATGAAATTATTCAAATCACAGTTTGTGCTCAGGTTTATACCACAAATGACAATGGAGTGATATAGCGTGATACTATACTGCTACTAGTTAACCGATATGAGAATTCATAACTCCCTGGCGTTTGAAACTATGGATACCGGATTTGAGTCTCATTACTTACTTCTATTCAGTTCATGTGGCTGGAGCAGCCTGAATGAGGCGAAACGGTTTGAAGTCAAAAGGAATTTTCCATTGACTATAGTTCATTTTCATATAATTTTCTAGTGATTAGGTTTTTTTTATTCCTTCATGTTCCCAGTGGAACATAGGGCCTCAAGCTGCAGGCTTGAAGTTTCTGTAGCAGTGTTTATTTTTACAGGATGGAGTTGCTAGCCTCATGCCCAACCTTTCTTCTTTACCAGCTTTTTATTTCTGCCTTAGAGAGTTGAAGGAGTGCATCGGCAGGGGATCAAATCCCGGACCATGTACATGGTCGGCCAGCATCCTAACCGCTATGCCATCGACGCACGATTACAGTAGCATATATATTCTCTTTTATATCCTATATGTATTCAATTTATGTGAATTATTAATATTACTTATAAGATATGAAAGCTTTCTTTCTCAAAGACAGTTACGCACATTAATAGATAATTCTGAAACTGACTGAAATAGTCTTGCGTTGGCAGACTATCAGTGATGAAGTGGATGCCAACAGACTATCCCAAATAGTCTGGCAGACAATTAAAAACCTCCTTCTCTCTGTTTTATGACTAAGACTGACATGAAGAGACTTAATTGAGCATAATAATGAATAGTGGTAAGTGGACAGTTGTGCATCATCCGTCTGCATAACAGCTGGCTGTAATAGCCCCTGTTGATTTCAGTTGGGCCGCTTAGAACAGCGTTGTAGGACACCAGTCGGATTTTCATTTCATCGAGAAGGGAATAGCATTTTATTTTAGAAACAGTCACCAACCAACAAGAGTTGACAATAGGGAATGAAAACATTATTGATAATGACAGTATCATCGTCAGTGATACCAAACAGTTTGGAATTCGACCCTGTATAGATAAATAAATAAGAATTTACCAATTACCCACGACGACTCTATCCAACGCCATCTTTTAACTTGGACATAAAAATTCAAAACGTTAAAAAAAACAAAGTAATTATTCTTACCATTTCTCTAAGCGTCTTCTCTGTATCCTTTCTCACATTAATTAATCGACATGGATCACATGGACAGTTTCGAAATGGACAAGTTTTTTTATGACCTTTCCATGTAACAGCTATTGAATGATTACGACATCTTCGACAGTGTGGACCAGTGGTAAGTGTCTGTTTCTCATCTATTAATGCAACCATTGATCTTAATGAACTCGAGTGGGATAATGGTAGTAAGACTGAATTCGTTTTATTATTATTATTATTATCATTTATAGTAGTATGTATTCCACTATGATTAGATATATGATTATTATTATTACTTCGGTTATTGTTTAAATTCTTATTGATTTTTATTTCATCAGTTTTATTGATTTCTAAATTTGTATTTACCGATGTTCTCGTTGTTGTTGTTGTTGTGGAGATGGTGGTTGTGGTTGATGAGAGCGATGAAATTGAAGATGATCGCCAGCTTCCATTGTTAGATGGTTGTACACGATTACCATCTAATTGATCGTGTATATCACGATGTGAATTTCCCTTCTGATCACGATATAATGCGATCTGTCTAGCAACAACCTGAATATAAAACAGAGATAACAAAGATGACATAAGCACTTAGATCATGGATATTTCAAATCGCCTGGAATAATTCGATCACTGAGTTATTATGACAGTATTTAAAATAATTCTAATATGATTTGATTGGACACTAGTAACTAGTGTGATGTGTCTAGTTCTGTTTTCGGTGCAGACTGAATTCTATCAGTAAGGTTTGCAATGTGGCCACCATTCTAGGTAACTCGCCATCACGGTGCACACTGATTTGACGATATTCCAGTGTATTTAGGAAGGCAAAACATGATTTCTTTGAATGTTGTGCTGTGTAGTTTACAACTTGAAGACAATTTCCTGGGGGTGATAAGCGACACGAAGGACGAAGTTTATTGTGTTTGCTGATGGCTAGAAGGAGCATTTATGATGCGTGTTCCGTCCCACACTACGAGTCGTCAGATGGATATACCTGCATGCCGTAGTGAATGATACTGTTCCCACTAAGACCCAGTCCCTGTATATATCTTCGTAAACTGAAAAACGTTACCCACATGGCTACTTAATTTGAATGTAGATTGCATTACGAATAATGAATCGATAGTTTCTTTTTCAGGATTGAGCTTCCAGTTGTCAGTACTTGTGGTGCTTTTTTAAGGAGTGGAGTAGGTAGTCTCACTATCGACCTTTTGTCTCTGCTGGGATTACTTCCGGTTAAGCGAGGTTTATAGCTGCATAGATCGGGAATGGAACTCGGATCACGAGTATTGTTGGCGATTATCCTACCACTGAAATACCTGCTGAATAATTTGGTATTTTCCACGTAAATTAGTACCTACCAAAATGAAATCATATTATTACGTAATAATTCGATTTACTGTTAAACAGTAGTAGACTTCTCTAACTTTTTATGATGTCTGAAACTTATAACAGTTTAGTCTATAAGGTCATCTTCGTAACTGACCGACACGATATGGAAGTATATTGAAAAATAAAAAATAACCAGTAAGATACTGTAGATTTTAGTTGGTCAGTTGAAATTTCTACTCAATTATACTTTCAGTTGATGACATAGATGAACTACTGGTTCTGTCCTTCATTCCAAGCTCTGGTCTACTGAATGCCCCTAGGGAATAAGTCTGTAGCATTATAAGTAATAGGTGCTAGGTTCGAGTTTGTTTGAATACCGTCATTTGATCGTTCGCCCGCTCACTCACTCACACACACATTAGAATACAGGTACATCGAAATTCAACGTGCGCTAGGGATTCCGCCAAATGATAGTTACCATCGACTAATGATAACCATGTTTTTTACCTGTCCATTTGAATCTACAGGTCTTCATAACATTCAAAATGAATTCAACTTATTTATCTAATAACTTATTACTGATTCAAAACTTCGGAAGTTTTCGGTAGCAATAAAATAGCCTGCGTAGAACTCATCTATGTTTAAATACTTGCAATAGCCTAATCGCCGTTATCATTCTCTTGAAGTCTAGTTTCAAGTGGATCAGTAATTCTATTTATTTTCATTAAACCTTGATTCCACACAGTACAACTATGAAATTTTCAGCATGTGATATTGGTAGCCTTAATTTAGCAGGCCAACCATAGATATCAGGTGTGCGTCGGCCGGGGATTGAACTCTGGACCATGACAGTGGTCGGCGAGCGTCCTAATCGCTGTGCCGCCGACGCACAGTAGACAAAGGGATGAATATACAATCCTATATCATCAATGTAAGGAAAATTGGCTGACCGTATAAGACATGTTGCTAGGCTACATGAGAATACATGAGAACAAATGTGTTCAAATACTATTTCAACAATGCACCTAGGTGTTTGAATGACTTAACAACATGTCTTATGCTGTCAGGCTACAAATTATATCGGATAAATGAGTGCTCAAATGATAACTTCTAAATGAGAGAATACCCCTTTGTTGAATTTTATTACTATTAGTATTTAAAATAAATAAATAAATAAATATATATAATATATATTAACTAACTAACTAACTTTTCTTCCTTGATCAACAAGATGACATTTAATACATGTACAGTTTGTATATGGACATGTACGCTTATGTCGTTTCACAGGGATATTATGCCCATGTGTTTTACACTTTCGACACATATATGATGCTCTTGAACAAATCGATGTATTTCGATAATGATGAAGATGATGATGATGATGACGATGATGATGGTGAGGATGTGAAGACGTTGTAGGTGCTGGTTGATTCTGAGGCGGAGGCGGAGGTTGAGGAGGAGGAGGATTAAAAGGACGAGAATGATCATTCTGTACATTTGAACGTGATGACATTCCACATTCTTGATTGCCTAATAATCGATTGTGTGTTGATGTTGTCAGTGTTGATGATTTTTTTGAAGTATGATAACATGTTACAGGAGATGACGACACTGATGACTGTGATGTTCGCGTTACAGAGTTTAAAAGACCAATTTTTAAACTATTACGAGATATATTTGCCCTTTGATTATGTAATGAATCAGTTGTATTTGTATTTGTATTTAAATTACTATTCATAGTTGAATTGGATGCTGTGATAGCTGTTGGTGATTGAGAAGCATCGAATATTGATGATGGTATTAGTATACTTGTTGTTGAAGTTGAATAATTCACATCTTGTAATGAGGTATTAACATACTGTATACTATCACCAGTTTGATGAGAAGACGAGGAAGGTGATAGTGGAAGTGAAGAAAGTGGATAATTAAATTGATTAGTTAAATTAAAATTAATAAATGGATTTTGAAATTTCTTAGTTATTAAATTATTTGTTATTATTGTCTCTGATGTTGGTGTCAATTTCTCATCTGTTATTGATAACATTGAATTTGTTTTATTAATTGTATCTATGGTAACAGCGTTCGAGTATGGATAGGCAGTCAAATTAAAATGTTGGTCACTCAAATAAATATTATTATTACTATTAATAAGTCGATTATGACAAGATTGGTTAATAGATGAAGTTGATGAATGAGGTTGATGACTTGAATTGTCGTCGGTTGGTTCTTGTTTAAATGTAGTTGATGAAATACCTTCTGGATTTTTCATTCTTATTTATTCTGAAAAGAAAGCATGCAACATTACATAAGATCAACTATTAGCATAAATTTTAATTTTATTTTTGATCATATGAATTGTTTGTTAAAAGCCACTAACATCCTTGTAATTCAGTAATATATCACCAGCTGGGTAACTCTACACACAATCGATTCATCATGAGGTGACATCAGTTAGAGAACCATTGGAAAACCTGCATGGAGTACTGGACAGCTGTTTCGTCAGCATAGTTTGGGACTCCTCATCAGTACGCACTCACCAAGCCAGGAAGAAGCAGCTGTTCAGTACTCCCAGACGGTTTTCCAATGGTTCTCTAACCGATGTTAGCTCATGATGAAATCATCCAACCAATCAAACAAATCCCTACAAAACCAATACTTGACAATCGATTCAAACGAGAGACTGAAATTTAACGGACGTAATGACCTTATTCGGCCAATCAGATGAGTCTGTAGTAAATATGCTGAATTTAAAGAACTCCTTTATAGACATCAATTTCAATTTTTAAAAAGATAGTAATACTGGGTAGTTGTCTAGTGTGTGTGTGTTTCCCAAGAAAAACTCTTACTTCTTTATTGGAATCTTTAGTAATAGTCCAAACCAATTTCTGAACATAAATTTATCCAGATAACTGTACATCATACTGATCTGTGACCTGTTCACTACTCTGCAGCACCTATGAACCTAAAAAGCGACGGCATGTCTTCTCGGATAGATTTTTTGTAACAGCAGACTGGACATCTGTACATATATCCATCAGTAGTGACTGCATACCTCTTTAAAGACAGGACAACTCTACATCTACACACTGCCTATAAGCCTGTTATCCCTAAAGTACTGAAATACTGCCTCGTAAAGGAATTTGCAACCTGATTCATGTACTGTACCCATATATATTCTCAATTTTAGTATGAGCTCACCTGATTTACTGATCAAGATCATTACGTCCGTTTAATTCGATCCTTCGTTTGGGTTACTTATGTTTAGAGTTACCACGAATTGATAGAAATTAATACAAACTAGTTGGCATTGACAATCAAATCGGTTTAACAGATAAGTAGTTGAATTGATCGAAACACATGACATTTAGATGTCGCATCTTTTTTGTTCCCTAATAGTGCTGTTTCATACATACATGTATATTAACTCACATTATAGCTTCACATTTGTGTTTACAGTAAGTATATATATACATGAGCAGACAACTATTGGATACAGATAACATAACATGTTTAATATTCTGAAGAAGTGAAAATTGGATTGGTTGGAGGGTTTCAGCATGAGCTGACATCGGTTAAAGAACCATTGGGAAACCAGCTAAAAGGAGTACTGGACAGCTGTTTCGTCCGCCTAGTTTGGGACTCTGGTTCAGTAGTAAGCACCTACCCCACCACCAGGATTCGAATCCAGGACCGTCTGGTTACAAGGCGAGCTAGATAGCTCGTAGACCATTAAGTCACTCACTGTGACCCAACCCAATGGGCAGTCCATGAATTCTAACATCTGCCAATTCATTACATATGCTATGCCAATCAAACAAAATCCCTACAAAACCAATACTTGATAAGTGAAAATTTCCTGAAGATTATTCAGTAATGGTTGAATCACTGCCGTTTTAGTTCGTCTTTACGTAGAGATGATCAATGAATAAATGAAGCAATCAGTTATGGCTTGTCTGTTAGCCGTACTGATGAAAATTTAGAAGGCAGATTGAGTTATTTCCTATTTGAAAAGGCGAGATACAAAGGCAAACTCGCCTACATTTTCTATGAATGCCAAAAACTTGATTCTCATAGACGCAGAGCTATTAATTACAAATATAACTAAATAAGCAAAGCAAATGTCTCTTTGAAAGAGTTTTATTCCACATTAAGAATGAAATAATCTCTGTGTCATTCACTTGTAAAACTTCATTGAAAACAAGGAAATTGTGATGTACAGTAATCTTAATGAAACAGTGAACAGACTAGTGGTACTAGTACAGCACACTTACTTCATCTGAACACTATTCAGCCTTATAATTTGTCCACAGATATGTGACTTGTAAAAAGTTTCGCAAGTAAACTATATCCCCTACCACAAATCAAGGGGAGTCGATTCATCTGTCTGAATAAGATGAGAATCTACTTATGATAATAAAATATTGAACGCTTCAGAAAACGAAAAGTGTTTAAATCACTCCGGTTAACTAGTGATGATTACTAATTAGTACGAATTATTTCTAAACTATCCTTATAAATATAAGTGAATTTTAAATTCTCCCGTCGATTGATTGGACCGAAGTGCTCGGTCTCAGGTTGACATGTCGGCTTCTCGTACAGGTGCTTCGACGATGTCTGGGCATTTAATTTGTATTTAACTAGTGGATGGTGAGTAGCAGTGGAATCCAGGATGCGCATTTCGTGCTATTTGGGACTCGTCAGCTGGATGTACCTGCATTTCTCAGTGAGTGATGATGTTCCCACCGAGGCTCAAACCCAGTGCCCATATTTTCAAATGCCAAAGCAGGTACATCCAGATGACGAGTCCCAAATAGCACGAAATGTGCATCCTGGATTCCACTGCTACTCACCATCCACCAATTGAATACTAATTAAACACCCAGACATCGTCGAAGCATCTGCTCAAGAAGCCGACATGTCAACCTGAGACCGATCACTTCGGTCCAATCAATCGACGGGAGAATCTAAAATTAAATTAAATTAATATGACCCGTTGCACAAGAGACAGTGGCTCTCGTGGTCTAGTGGATAGCGCTTTGGCCACCATGCCACTAGGTGGCTCTCCATCACAGTGCACTTTGAATTAGTGATATTAGATGGCTAGAGGCAATCAGTAGGAAGCCCTGCTTAAACCTATGTTTCGTACTAGTTGGCACTCACCAGTCAGCAAAGCGTATCTGCTACCTTCGAAGGAACTCATTTCCCTTCTGAAGAGATTCTAACCCACATCGCCCAGTGGTCGCTGCAGTCAGAGACGCTTAGAAATCATTTATTTCTGTTTCAAGAAATTGAATGACTGATGGCTTAGAGACAATGATTGGAGAGGTTAAACTTTAGGCGCTGAAGAGGCACGAAACCACCAATGACCTTGAAACGCTCAGTCAGCAAGTTAATGAAACCAAGCAAATGATACTATATTCATGAAAAAATATGCTTCATAAAGTGTCATGATATTCAACGAGATGTCTGGTAAGATTTACGTTAGATTTGGGTCAGGGTTAAGCTCAATTAGGGAGATGTTAGGGTTGGTCTGAGGTAGGTTTAGGTTAGGTTTCGAGAAACAAATTTTCTTCTCAGAGCTATATCTGTTTCCAGTGTCATTCGTCGGTTTACGCCTCTTTTTTGCCTAATTATCTTCAAGTTACTCGATTGGTGGCAAATAGCAGGGGAATCCCAAATGCTCGATTTGTGCTGTTTGGAAATCACCATTTGACTGAACTCGTTCCCCAGTGAATGATGGTTTTCTCAACAAGACCAAAACCTAGCATTCATCACTTTAACCTCCAAAGCTTTCTTCATTCAGGAGTATCATCTCTTGTGGATACTGGAGGAATCACGGTAAAATACAGCCACTATTCAAAGCTGGTCGATTCGATCCAGGAATGTCAATGAGAGATCACAAGTATAAATGAATAAGGTTAATTATATTCAATTTCTAGCCTAACTGAGCAGTTTTTCATACTGATAATACTAATAAGCTTGAAGGATTAGGTGCTAAAGAGTGAAATTAAATAAAATACGACCTGAGCAACTGTGTTCAACTTTATATACAAAGCACTGTACATCATGTTTTATGTTAGGACTATTAAACCTGTCTGGTGTGAAAAGAATTCTAATCTGTAGAAGAGGTCACAGTGTTGATGATCTACCAACAGAAAGTGAAGTATTTAAATCTCTGCATTAAAGTGTAGTCTGAGTAACAAACAGAAAGAAGTTAAAAATCAGAGGGCGTCAGATAGGCATTTTTATCCCAGTATGGAACTCTTCAGCATTGTGAGCATCCAGTTGTCCGACAATTTACGGTTTCCAGTAATTCTCTCTAAATTATATGAAGTAGGAACCAGTTAACTTTAAGAATAACAATACTGAAGGTCTAACAAAGAGGGGACCGCATAACACAGATATGTATTCCTATATTAAATACTTTGAGTCATACAAAACTACCATCCTGTCAGGAATGAGGAGAAATACTCGCCTATGACACTGACTGGCAGCGGTTGGGCTGAAATCACGAATTGGTAGAAGTTAGAGTTCATGGGCTAGCCACTGACTTGGGTCCCAGTGACTGAATGGTATACGAGCTTGCCTTGTAACCGGAAGGTCCTGGGTTTGAACCCTGGCAGTGGTTGAGTACTACCGATGAGTCCCAAACTAATACGTAGGAAACAGCTGTCCAGTACTTCCTGTGACTGGTTTTCTATGGTTCTCTAACTGATATCAATCCGTGGTCAAACTTGAAAAATAAATCCAGTCCCTACAAATCAACTTTTGAGAAAAAACCACTGAATATTTCCCAATTTTAAATGTTTTATTGGTCTCTAGTTCGAAGATAAAGAACTGATTACAGAATTTCCCGAGGATTGGTTTTTTTACCATTCAAAAGGAAAAATAGAAGGAAAAAGACGAAAAAGCCATAAAAACTTGAATTTACTACTAAACGACACCCACAGTTATCTCCTCTTTCCTCCCCCCCCCCTCGCACCACGCCTCCCAGCTATCAACTCATCCTCAAGATACAAAAAAAAGTTAATCGATTCGATAATCAATCACTTTATTAAATAAACTTAAAAACATGTGCATATACAGATAGAAATACACCCCCCCCTCTAATAATACTCTATCAATATTTTTTCTGCAGTAGAAATCTATCCTATCAGGTTTTACAGCACAGTTAGACTTTCTTTTTATGCGAAATTTCATCATACATGCAAATACACAGTAATAATTTGAATGACGATTTAAGTTATTAGAGTGAAAATTATTTGGAAAATTAAGGGGGA